ACATTGTGAAAGACTTACCCTGCCCAGTCCGTCTTCCCGTTGGCTTTGGTACAAAGCTACACACACAGATACAGACACAGACTCACACGCACGAACGAACACACACACCACTTCACCTTACGGTGCCCATGCCAGTCATCTCTTCTTGGCCACTGGGTTCAGATTCGGGAAAACCCCAGTGGTAGGAGAATTTGTGTCTGAAGAACCGAAGCCTTGAAGAGAAAGTAAAGTTAGGAGAAAAGTCAGAAATGAACTTGAGAAAATCTTTATAATTGCTTTTACATTCAGGAAAGACTACAACCCAGGAGCGCACTGAATAAGGAACGCGTTAGGATGTATCATACCCACGTTGATGGCAGCGTGAACTGGTCCAGCCAAGCTTGTGAGCAATTTGGCAATGTGTCTATAACTGGGAATGCCTTCTCCCAAGGGCGAGCAGCACCACTTCCAGGGACATACTCTAGAAAAACAAGTTCAAGGATATTCACTGCAGAATCACTTGGGACAGTGAAAAATTAGAAATAACTTCAGTTGGGGCGCCTGTCTAGCTCAGTCGGAAGAGCAGGTGACTCTTGATCTCAGGGTCATAAGTTCGAGCCCCATGTTGGGTGTAGAGATGATGAAGGAAAGAAAGAAAGAAAGAGAGAAAGAAAGAAAGAAAAAGAGAAAGAAAGAAAGAAAGAAAGAAAGAAAGAAAGAAAAAAAGAAATAACTTCAATGTCCAATGGTTGATGGATGTATTGTGGTCTCTTTATACAGTTTATTGTTATTCATGAGTTAAAATGCATGAGTTGGATTTCCTGCAGCCACATGAGCAGACCTTAGAAGCATCATGTTAGGCGATAAAAAAGTGAGTTCCAGAGTGATAGGTTCAGTGTGATACCACTTATGGAAATTAAGAAGCACTCCAAACCTAGGTGTCATGTATGAGTAATTCATATGTGATAAAGTATGAACATATGTACGAGAAGAATACCCATCAATTTTAGGATAGCTCCTGCATCTTTGGAGGAAGGAAAAGAGAGACAAAGGGGACTGTGCCATGTTCGTAAGGTTGTTTTGTTTTGTTTGTTTTTTTTAAAGAATCCGACATGAATGTGGCCCTAAGTTCACATTTGCTATTTCTGGTGGTGGGTGCAAGGCTTTTGTTATATTACTCCTTATATTTTTCTGTATGTTTGAAATATTCCAAAATTGGAAAAAGGAAAGAAATTTCCCATGGCATTTCGCACACATTTACATGAGCAGTAACGGATATGGTGCTGTGATTTTCCATTTTCTGTGTCAGAATTTCCCTTCTTTGTATCTCCAACAGACTGCTTGTAAATGTCTTTTTCTTAGTTGCAGAAATATCATCCGGAGGGGCATTTTTCCAGCCAATTATTCCATGCCCTCCTGATCTCGTGACTCAGAGCAATCGATTAGTTGGTCTCCCTCATCCAGATATCTGGAAAAACCAGAGCATTCAAAGTAGGCTGCCCCCAGACCTCCCCAGCACCTCTTCCCGGCACGGGGGCTGGAGGGCTCACCTCTGTCCCGGAGGGCCTCCTGCCAAATGTCGGCTGCCCTTTTGCCCGGAGGGAAGTGCCCAGTGTCTGGTTTACTTTCTTCTTTCTTTACCTTCCCCCAAAGTTTCCCTTGCAAAACCTTACTCCTTGGCTACTTTGATATCTCCAGCCTTTTTTATTCCCAACCTCTAGATTCCTCCAGTCTCTCTCATGATCCCACCAGCGCTAACCATTGGCACCGGGACCTGAGAATGTACATTTCTTTTTTTTTTTTTTATGTTTATTTATTTATTTTTGAGAGAGAAAGAGAGAACAGGGGAGGGGCAGAGAGAGAGAGAGAGAGAGAGAGGGAGACAGAATCCCAAGCAGGCTCCACACTGTCCGCGTAGAGCCTGACGCAGGGCTCAAACCCACACACCGTGAGGTCCTGACCTGAGCTGAAATCAAGTCAGATACCCAACTAACTGAGCCACCCAGGTGCCCAGAAAATGTGCATTTCTAATAAGATCCCAGGTAATGCTGAAGCTGCTGATACCGGGACTACACTTCTAGACCTGCTGTCCTACGAGGCTGAGCACAGGAGTATGGGGTTTGGGAAGGGATTCCTGCATTGTGCGAACTGTGCAACCTTGACCTTAAAAATCCCACTTCCTTAAAAGGAGTCCAGAAGATTTCCTGCTCTAAGAGCAAACGTGGCTTTACATCCTGGGGACGGGCAGGGGCTACGCTGTAGGTACGACAAGCCCAGGGTCCATCCTGAGGTGCTGTACTGGCCTGGATGTTCTGTCCCTATTCTGAAAGCCCCCTGCCCACCAACCACTAACCGTGCTGCTTCCAGCTCATGCAACGATCTGCTCCCCCTTCCCAGCCCCAAACCCTGCAGCTAAGGAGCATAGCCAGCAGGAGGAGTACCCACTACCCGTAGGGGCTCTCAAAGGGAAGAACCATGTCTGAGGGTATCCTTGGCAGAACAAGGCTTAGCTGCTGGGAAAGAAGAGACGGGGAAGGAGGAGTGGGAGAAGGAAAGGATAGAGTGGGAGGGTGGCGGAGAAGGGGGGGCTGGTGGTCGGGCCTAGCAGCTTCCAGGGGACTAGGTCACACCCCAGATTGGGCAAAAATGAAAGCACCAAGTGACAACTGTCCATGCCCCTGCTACTGACACAAGAGCTCCATTCTGGGAGCACGTTGGTCCTCCCGCTGCGACTACACAGGCCCCATCGGCATGAAGCCACCTCTGGGAAGAACAAAGGAGGCTCTGTAGGCCCCGTGGGATGCGCAAGCTCACGGTGGAGAAAGGCAGGATTAATGCACGGCCGTATTGCCATACACGCTCGGGATATTATCACGTTGGTATATCGGACTATATGTCATTCGGATTCCAGGGTGTAATAACTCCAGGTGCACTTGACATTTCTATTCAAATGGTATTTTGGAGAAACTTATAGGTTTTCATTACTGGTAATTTCTCTGACTCCTTCTTCCCAGAGCCTGGTGTTCATGCTCAGCCTGCCCCCCCCTCGGCCGGCACACCCTCTGGTGCCCTCAATGGCTCTCCCTCTCAAGGACCGCTGCTGGGCCCCCATCCTCGCCTGCCGGGGAGATGGCCTGGGAGGGGAGGAAATGGCTGAGAGAACGAATCCAGCACTTTGTCTCATTTTACAGGTGCAGAAGTAGCAGCCCAGAGGGGTGCCTGGGTGGCGCAGTCGGTTAAGCGTCCGACTTCAGCCAGGTCACGATCTCGCGGTCCGTGAGTTCGAGCCCTGCGTCAGGCTCTGGGCTGATGGCTCGGAGCCTGGAGCCTGTTTCTGATTCTGTGTCTCCCTCTCTCTCTGCCCCTCCCCCGTTCATGCTCTGTCTCTCTCTGTCTCAAAAATAAATAAACGTTAAAGAAGTAGCAGCCCAGAGAAGGAAGTAGACCCGTGCAAGGTCACTCCGGCAGGGTGGCCCAGCGTGGATCAGAAGGATGCCTCGCAGGGTGCTGCTGGGGGACACCAGCCACCTGGAGAGACTTCCCATGTCATCGTGCGCTCTCCCCCTCTCTCCTGTTCCTTTCTTGACTTTCTTTTGCCCTTTCCAGGCCACTTCCCCCTCACCTTCCTCCCTCTCCCAAAGGTTCAGCCTTTTAGCAGACTTACTCCTCCACCCCCACATCCTTGTTGACTGACTTCAACCCTCAGGCTCTCAGCACACCTCCCATCTGCTTGGGTGGGTTAGGTAGGGGGCACGCAACCATGGCTGGTTTCAGTCAAACAACGTATTGCCAGATGGACACATACGCACAAATGCAGAGACGTCACAATGCACAGGCAGCAAGCCAGTGCCTCCCCAGAGCTGACACTCCTAGGCTCAGTCGGGGGCCTGCCTTTCTAGGGCGGTGACCACTCCTTGTGGCCACTCTCTCTTCTCTCCACCATCCCTCTCAGCCGCTACAGCTCTCAGGACTGCTTCTCAAAGAAACCCTGGTTCTGTGGGAAAATCTGTAGACCTTGCCCTCCTAGAGCAGAGTCCAGCCCAGGGTCTCGCTGGTGGAGCGACCTAGAAGTGGAGCACTTTGGAGGCTGTGGGGTGCACTACCTCACTATGACCACACGATGCCACCCTTGAGCTGCACACACATTCCCCCCCAGGCATGTTGGGGGGCAGGTGGCCAAGTCAGGCCCAGCCAGCAGCTGGGTGGGAATGGGAGGTCAGGGTAGCACCAGGGGAGGGAGTTTCACAGTCACAGGCATTGGTCAGCCCTGCAGACTTTGTCACCATCCTGCCTTCTCCCACTCACGTCTGGCTGCATCTGGGGGGGGTCTCAGTTGATCTCACTGAGACAATAGCTACAGGTCCCCATACACCCAGCCCTTCTTCCTGAATCCCCACAGTGAACCCACAGCCCCACTTAGGATCCTTCAGCACCTTTGAATTCAGTGTGGGCCACACACCAGTTCATGTGTTGGTGTTGGCTTAGACTTGCCTCTTGGCGGCTTCTGCATAAGGAAGGAAACTTCCTGCTGCCTTGTTTCTTTCAGGTTGTGGCTGTGGTGTGACCTGTAGCAGGTAGCAGGTCTGGGGAGGCCTCAGATCGTGTCCCCCACCTTGGGCTGCCCGGGCACAGTAGCTCCCCAAGGCTGGGTAGAAGGATTCCAGATAAGGAAATCCCCAGATAAAGAAAGCAAAGACCCTGTGTTCCTTTATTTTAAACTTCTCCTCATTGTGTAGGTCCTGCTCTGTCCATCCAATGTTGTTCTCCCCTTTGGGAATGTTTCCTTGGGCCCTAACCCAGGCCTTGTATGTGGTCCTCGCCCTCTGCTCTGTCCCCTGTCCCCTAGGGGCGTCTGCTCTGTCCCCTGTCCCCTAGGGGCTGACGCTGTGTGAGCCTCCCCAGGGATGGTAACAAGCCCCCAGGCCAGCCGCCCCCCTCCCCCTCTCCGGGGTAAGCAATCCCACCTCCTGCCCCTAGAGGTCTCTGTATCCCGAAGCAAGCAACAATATTGACTGCTTAACTAAAGCAATGAGGATTTTATTGGAAGGATTTGGGGGTGGTTCGCCAGATTCAGGAGGGGGGCACTTGAAGGTCCAGGCTAAGAAAGGGCGGGCGCTAGGCAGTTCAGGGGACGCAGAAGGCCCAAGCTCAGTCTTCTCTTTAGCACAGCTGCTGGGATCAGTTTGTTCCCAATCTTGCGTCCCTCCATCCAGGATTCCAATTCCCAGGCCTGTCTTGGGTCTCCTATCCGAGGGGGCAGGACAAGGCAAGGTGCTTTGAGTGACAATCTCACCAGGCGTGCCCATGGGGTGGGGGAGGCAATTCCCCAAAAGGAGCCCAGAGGGAGATAGATGGTCTACAAATAGGAGACAGCAGGCTGGGAGCTAAGCCACCAACACAGTGTCCACACCTTTAATCGAGCCACTCTTGTTTTTTCCTTACCTGATGGAACCTCCCACTAGACACTGTGCACAGATAAATGATTAAATGTGTAGCAGAGCATTGAGGCACAGAGAGGCTCAGCGTTTGTCCTGAGGCCAACCAGCAGCTCTACGGGAAAGCTAGGTTGATGACTCCCACTTGTTGCTGTCCTCGTCTGTGACACACCTGGACCCTTTGGGGGGGCATCACCCCTGTAGACAAGGCCTCCCGCAGATACTTTTTGGGGTAAGGGCTTCCTGACTACTGTTGAGAGGAACAGCAAGCCCAGACCGCAAAAAGATCCAAAGGAGACTGCAGCTCGCCTCCGGCAGGAGGCCAGGAGGGGAAGGTGGGTGCACCCCTCCAGGGCTCAGCTGGCTGGATCCCTGGATCCGTGGGGAGGCAGAGCCAGGACCTGAAGGGAGGAGAGGGAAGAAGGGAGCTGAGAGCCCCAGGAAGCAGGCGGGAAGCAGAAATCCCATCGTAATCCCTCCCTCCACCCACCCAAGGTCACAACCTGGTTCTTACCTGGGGTTTGTAGGGGGCCTCCCCTGGAAGATCTGGGATTGCAGTGCACTCCCAGGCAAGGGACTGCTTGAACCTGCACCGGCTCCCCTTCAGGGCCCAAGCCTCCCCGGATTCTCTTTGACCTTGGAGCATTTTAGCCTCCTGCTGTGACTGAGGTGCAGTCAGATAGTCAATCTGACGCGGGGTCCTTGTGAAGCCTCCATGCTTGCTGAGGGGCGGGCCCACACGGACCAAAGCACCGTCCTTGGTCCACAGCATCAGTGCGCCCAGCTCCCACTGGGGACTCCCCAGGAGTCACAAAACACCAGTCCCGAGAAGATGTCATCTTAGATGAGACCTCTGGGGACAGACCACTTTGAACTTGCAGGCATGGGCCTTCAGTCTGTTCTGACAATGCCTTCTGCTTTCAGCAGATGCTGTTGTTACCGGGAAAGCAGGGCTTGGAGGCAGTTCGAGCTGGCTTAGCCTGATGAAACGTCCCCGGCCCCTGTTCAAATGAGTAGCTCCACAAAGGTGGCAGACAAGCCCCTTCCCGCCATCTCAGTGCCCTCCTGCTTCCATAATAAGGGAAGTCAGCGAAACTTCCCAGAAGTCCCTGAGCCAGCCTGGCTTGGTACTTACCTGCCTTACCCAGAGGACCCCCCGGGGGCCACAGTCACCCAGGAGCGGAGGAAGTCCTAGCACACTGAACCTTGTAGGTCCACAGAATGGGTGGCTTTGCCTGCGGGTCCACTGCAGAGCTCAGGATGGGATGGTTTGTGCTGGGCTTTTCCTGAAGGCGCCAAAGAGGCATTGGGTCCTGCCAGAGAAAGTGGGCCTCATGCCCTCCCAGACTTCCAACCCAGGCTTGTAAACAGAGGCCACCTGGAGACACCGGGCCTGCTCTGCGGGCTGGTCCAGGAGAGAGACCAAAATGTGAGACCGGTGGCCATAGATGAGAGCCTGTGGCCACAGGGCAGTCTGTAGGGGAGAGCACTGCACGGCCAAGGCTCTGAGAGTGTCCTACCTGGCCAGGTTTCCATGCTGCTGCTGCACAGGTAGGCCTGAGCTTCAGAGAGGCTGGGACTCGAGCTGGCTCTCAGGAGGAAGAGAAGGAGGCTCTTTCCTGCCCAGGGAGCAGGCCTCCCCTTCCTCGCTGCTGAGCCACTGGCCCGGGGAATCCAGACCCGGCGGTGACTCTAGGTGGCAGGCAGCTACATCTCGAGGACAGGGCCAGCTGTCTGCTTCGGGGGTCTTCATACGGAGAGAAGACGCCCCCCCAGCCAGCTTTGAGCTTGGGCTTCTCCGGGGGCCCTCCGGCTCTGCCCCTCTCCCAGAAGGGTTCCCTCGGGATCTCTCTGGGGACTCCACTCCCTCCTGCCCCTCCTGCCCCACTTCCCCAGCTGCAGCCTGTGCCAGAACCAGCAAGAGGACAACACTGAGGTGGGGGAGGCACACTTGGTGGGTTGGAGCGGAACCACGCAGGCCTTGGTGACTGGACCACACGCAGGCCCACAGGGAGTAAGCCCAGGCCCTCCCCACTTGCACAGGGCTCTTCCCACCGCATCCTCGGGTGCTCGGTCTTTGGCATCACTGAAGGCCCCCTCCTCCAAGGCTCCGCTGATGCCTGCGTTTAAGGCAGGCACTTTCATTTGTGCGGGGCTCACTAGAAGCCAGCTGGGTGCTGCTCCCTTGTTTCTCACGGTGACCTGAGGAAGTAGATGCAGGTAACACCCCCTTCCAGGGGAGGGAGCTGAGACTGACCTGTTTAACTGCAGCTAGTGAGTGGCTGAGACCCAGCTTCAACTGGACCTTAAAGCCCATGCAGCTCTTTCTGCCCTTTGCCTCCAGGATGCAGCCCGGCTAGACCACTGTGATGGTCCCTTCCATCCCTTCCTTCCCAGTCTCTCCCCTCCTCCCACTAGGGCAGTTTCTGCTGCCTTCCAGTCTCAGGGCAAGCTCTGTACCTCAGTTTCCCCACCTCTAAAGTGGGCATAACACCCTGTGTCTGGGTCAAATGGAAACGTCTCCTGCTCCTGCTACCAAATCTTTCTACCTGCTTCCACCTGCCCCCACCCGGGACCCTTGACCTCCTCCCCTTCTGATCTATGGTGAGCCACCTGCTCCTGCCTAACGACTCACCGCTCCCCTACACCTGAATCCCGCCCCTCAGACCGCCCCATGGATGTCAGCGGGCTATCACCTGCTCCCTATGGGATGGTCAGTGCTCCCCTCCTAGGTATCGCCACCCTACAACAGCCCTTCTGTGGCTGCACAGTTGGAGAGCCTCTAGCTACTGCCCATCTTGAAGGCAAAACTCCTCAGAGTGTATTTGCTACTCCACCGCCCCCCCCAACCCTGCACTCTCTCCTGAACCCCCTGCAATCACTTTTGTCCCCAGACCACTCCTGTCAAGGTCACGTGATGTCCACACTGCTAGGCCCTGTGGTTGATTCTCAGAGCTCATCTCACTGACCTACGGACAGCCTTGGACACAGTCGGTCACTCTGTCCTCCTGGAAACACCTTCTTCCTGGGCTCCAGGAATGCCCTCCCTGCACCTACTGCCCCACTGGCCGCTCCTTTCTGGTTGCATCCTGAGTGTTGACTGCTCCTCATCTCTCTGCCCCCCAGTTCCAGAGCATCCTGGGGGCCTGGCGGGCAGCCCTGTGTCTCTGCTCTCCCTCTACACTCAGCCCTAAGTGAGCTCGTCCGAGGCAACTGTGCCTCCCCACCGTGCGCCCCATTTCCAGTCAGTCCCAGGCTCTGCCTCCAAAAGTGTCTCTGAGCGTGCACGCCGACCCCCAACACCAAGACTGGCCGAGCTATTCTGATCCCGGCGCCTCGGCCCTCTGGCAATAAGCTGTGTACGTTGCTGAGATTCTCACCTTCCCAGGGTCCCTGTTTGGATCTGGAGAGCATGAAGAATGAGATGGCTCAGAGGAAGAGGGCTTCGGCTTCTTGCTCCTGCTCCTGCTTGTGTCATGCAGGCTGTTGGACCAGCTCCTCTGAAATGCTTTGCTTGGGCCTCTCTCCTGCTGAAGGGAGAGGGTGACACCCACCGGCAGGGTGGGGGTGGGGAGGCTGGCGCTCCTGCTGTCCTGCCGGCCCCTCTGCCTGGCACACTGCCCAGACGGGACCGACCCTTCGTTCAGATTCCTCAATCCCTTTCCTGAATCCCCCAGCACAGGCCTCGGGCCATTGATTTGCCCCTCACTTGTTTACTTGGCAGATGTCAACTGAGTGCATGCAGGGATGAGCCAATCTGAGCCAACCGTGGACTCTGCCCTCTGGGAGCTCCCAGTCCCGAAAGGAAATACAGATGTGGCCTCCTGGATGCCCTGAGTCCCTCAAACAAAACTCAGCCTGCACCGAGCTCATCGGCCTCCCTGGGAGCCCCATCTCCTTCCTGGGACACCTCTGCCAAGGGCACCGGCGCAGACAGTGTTGGGCAAGGCGGGCAGCGATGGGTGCCTGGGGAGGGTTCCAGGGCTGCGGGGGTGCCCGGGCTGGATGGAGGTGAGGACAAGGAGCCTGGGAGGCTTCATCACAGAGGCCTTGTGGGAGCAGCGCTGGGGAGAAAGGCCAAAAGTTGTCTTCAGGCTGAGGAGCTGGCAATGCTCCAGCAGGCTGTGGGCAGCCCCTGAGGTTTTGAGTAGAAAAAAATCTGCGAAATGATGGAGCAGGGGGAGGCACGGGGAGGGGGGGGGCGGGTAGTCAGAGGCTTTACAACAATTCTGCTGAGAGATAATGGGGACCCGACCCGAAAGGTGGGGGGCTGAGGCAGCAGATTCATGACAACGTAATAGGTTGTCTGGGAGGCTGGGAGAGGGGTCCCAGCCGCGAGGACGGAGGGGCCAACAGGGAATGCGAGGCGGTTGGATCACTTATAACACACGGTCCAATTTAATAAACAGGTGTGGAAGCCCCACCACATTCAGGGTCACCTTCGGCTCTCAAGGTGTACGAGTAGACAGTGACCATTGACAGTGACGGTGATAATGTGAAGGGCAGAAGGGACAGAGGGAGGGGGAAATAGAAGCTGGAGGACACCCAGAGAGGAGAAACAAAGTGGGGGGAAGGGAGGGGTGCATGCAGACACTTCCCGCATGCTCGAGTTTGGTGTGTGGAGGCCACTGGCCGAGCGGGTCAGCAGGAGTGCAACCTTGCCTGGCAGCTCCAAGGGCAGGAGGGGCATCCGGCCCCGGGAGGGGGCGGGGGAGGCAGCACAGTGCCCTGGGGTAGAGCGGGGTCTTCCCATTTGACAGGTTGGCTGTGGGAGTGTCACTGCGCCCCTCTCAAAGGTCAGCACTGGCGCCCCTTAACTGTAAAACAGGAGAGTTTCAGACACACAGGGGATCCTCACGCAGTCACCTCCACTTCCTCGCCCCTCATTTCAACTAGGTCTCAATTTCAAACTGCGAAATGCATTTTGAATCCACCCACTTGCTGCCCCAGCCCTATAGCCGCCCCTGCCCCCCATGACCTTGTGGACCACAGTAGCCTCCCACCTACGCACTCCACACCCACTCGCCTCTCCGCAGCCACAGTAATCTTATTTAAATGTAAATTTCAAGTCCCTCCCCTGCTGAAAAAATATCCTTAAGTGGTTTCTTGCCACCGGTTAAAACTCCATCACCTGCCCCTCCCTAGCTCCCAGGGCTCCTCCTGCATCAGTCTGTCCCTCTCACCACACTGGCTTTCTTCCAGCTCCTTGAACCGCCGAGCTTGCTTGGGGACCTTGCCCTTGTCTGTCTCCTCTGCCCGGAGCGCCTGCCCTGCTGCTCCGCCTGGAGGACCCCCGCTCAGCCTGCGGCGCGGAGCCTCGTTGTCTCTCCCTCTAACCGACCTTCCCTGAGCCCCCAAGTGAAATCCACTGTGGG